ATTATTCTATACATACATACATATATATATATATATATATATATATATATATACATATACATATATATATATACATATATATATATATATATATTTTTTAATATATACATAAATTTTAATTCTCATTGTGATGTAAAGACTTTACAGGAGTCTTAATCATTATTAGATAGACTATATCTTTTTTACTATTTTTTTTTTTATAACATTTCAATCATATAATGAAATTCATATGGACCGGTATTAATAGTAGCTTTAAGAATATTTAAAATTTTCAAATAATATTTTTATATTATGTTTGTATTAAATATTTTGAGATATTTGACATTTTATAATCTTTGCAATTATAATTTATGTTATGGTAATTAGAAATATCATCTAAAAAAGGACATTGTTATCAATCTAAGATAACTTATTTCAAACGTGATCGTTAAGTTCATTTGTTATTTATGATTCATTTGCGATAGATATGTTTTTTTAAGGTATTTATAAAATTTTAACGTTTTTTTTTTTAAATTTATATCTTATATGTATTTTGTTAAAAATACTTAGGGACCATACTTATCTTATTGGTACAATTTCTTGTCTATGTTTTTTTATTGACAATTATATATATATATATATAAAAACATAAAACAGACAAATTGATTTTTATTAAAAACAATTTATTCGTCATAATATATCATGCATTCTTACATAATATACCATTATTACTTCTGAAAGGCACATACTTCATTTACGTGTGTGTATGTATGTGTACACGCGTGAGCGCGTGCTTATGTGGGAGTGGATGCGTGTAAATGTCAAAAACATTCTGAGAATCGAATAAAATTCTTTCTTTTTTCTAGAATTGATTCATTTACTGTCTTTTCAGACAGTATAACAATGATCTTGGAATATTTGTAATCGGATCGTTCGAATTTTTCTAGATTTTTCTAGACAATAATTAATTAATTAATATCTATGTTTAATGTATCAAGTTTTAAATTGATTACTCAGAGATTCTCGAATCGCATTTGTTTTGTATTACGCCTCAAACGACAAAAGAAATATTGAATACGGTCATATCGGACCATCGAAATTTTTTTTATCTCTTCCGTGTTCGCAAGCGTAAGATTTTTTTTCTTATATTCGGATCATTTAAAAAGTGCGTTGGCAAGATTACATTATACACAATTCTTAGGAATATTTTCGAAATCCGAATTCTTTTTGATCGGATTTGGAAAATTTCATTAGACGAATAAAAACATAACAATGAACGCAACAATAATCTGACTTCATCTAAATAAAAACATTTAGGTGAAACAAATCATTTAAGTATGTCTATGCAGTTCATATAGAACGTTTTATGTTCTATGGTAATATGCGTAAAATAAAAATTGTCTCTTTAACGAGATTGGAAAATCGTTCAAAAAGTTTTGTCTTTCTCTCGTCGAGTCTCGAAAAAAACGGGTGAAAATGAAAAATGCATACATTTTCAATGAAAATGTACTTACTATTTTTTGCTATTTTTAAATAATTACAATTGTTTTTTAAACAATAAAAAAAGCTTTCGTTTACTGAAAATGAAAAGAATTATAAATATTCTCAATCAGACGTTCTTAATCGAGACTTGGTTAGGATGAATTTAAGAAAAAACTTTTTAAATGATCTTCATCACGGCGCAATACTTAGACGATGGATATTAAAATGTAAATATTCCAATTATTGACTATGCGGCCGTCGAGCTAAAAGTGGAATCACGGGTAAAAGCATTGAAATTTTTTTTTTGTACTCAATTATTTTTCAATTGAAGGAATTGGTTAAAAATCAATCAATTATAATCAAAATTATATCATCTTTTGATTTAAAAGAGAAAGAAAAGAAATAGATAAAAGAAATAAAAAAAAAAAAAAAAAAAATAAAGAACGATTAAACACTTTACGCATTTACGTGTAGGATATAGTTTATCATTTTTTCGCTTTTTTATTTAATTATTTTTTTATATTTGTTTGTTCATGATTCACCCATGATCCGAACTTATTAGCAATATTCATTTTGTTTTACAAAAAAGAAAAGAAGATATAAAAAAACTATATAGAATATTTTGTTCGCTTCGTTCGGATGACAATGGGACGCGATTAAATTAATATAACGATCCGTAATGCGACGATGCAACTATGATACTTAACAAGATAAAGCTGCGAATCGAATACTGTGGTAATGAATCATCGGATATTATGAGTTCGCTGACTGAAACTCGCTTCAGTCGACCTTTGCCGGTTGCACCCTTGGATACAACTGAAAAAAAATTAATAAATTATCATTAAAATATTATTAAGAATAGATCAAAGATATTTTAAGGATTTACTTCAAAACTGTTATATTTCTATTCTTTTTCTTTTTTTTCTTTTCTTTTTTTTTTTTTTTTTTTGTTCTCTAACTAATTATAAATCATTCTGTTTCTTCGTTTCGTAGATATTCGGGCAACTTACGCCAAGTAAGTTTCTAGGTACGTAGCCTTCTTTGTGTCCCAGTTTGCTCCACCACCATTCTCTCTCGTTGTCATCTCCCTTTCGAAGGACAACTAAGGAATCACCATTCTTCAGAGTGAGCTCGTCGCTGTGTTGTGCCTCGTAATCGAACACTGCGTATACTTGACCATTGTTCATTATTCCAAGCTTCTCTTGGACGCCTGTAACGTGATATAAAACCAGTATAATTTGCTCGATAAAACTTTCGAGAGGTACATTCGATTAAGACACGATTAATCAGTTTACATTAATACTGACTGTATAAGTATTCCGAGCAGCCATCGAAACCCTCCTCGTCTTCCTCGCATTTTTCTGCTGCAGTTTCATGGTCGGAGAGAGTAGTGGCGAATATACAAGCTCCGTGCTCCACTAGAAATCTTACCATGGATAAATTGTTGCAACTTGCGGCACAGTGTAAGGGCGTCCTGCAATAAAACCAAGTGAGCAAAGTGATTAGAAAATCACAGTTAAAATATACGAATATACGAAACTTGATAAACTTCTTACCATCCGTCGCTGTCCTGAGCGTTCACGTCGCAGCCAAATTCCACTAGAAACTTGACTATCTCCAGGTGACCGGCACAAATGGCATTATGAAGCGCGGTAATACCTTCATCGTTAGCCGAACTAGGATTCGCCACTTCTTTAGCAGTCTTCTTCACTAATTCCAATTCACCTTCGAGACTGGCGTCCAACAGTAGAGCTAGAGGATCAAAGGAAACCCTTCTCGAGAGATTCGCTTTCCCCGTGCTGGACTTTAGATTCCCTTTCTTTCTTCTCATCACCTCGTTGCTCTTCCCATCGACTTCCAATTCCGTTCTTCTCTCCGAATCCTTCGCCTTCACTTTATCCTCGATATTAATTACGTTCAACGCATCAATGATATCCGCTTCCTCCAATTTCTCGTTACTAATCACATCTTCATTGATGATCGGAACGCTCTTCTTGCAGTTGTCCGTCGTGTCGATGATTTGCGATTGTTGCTGAGGTTGTTGCGATTGTTGTTGTTGTTGCTGCTGCTGTTGTTGCTGTTGTTCCGTTTGCATCAGATCCGCTGGAATCTCGGTTTCCGGAAACAGAAACGCCGGTGGCATCTCAATCCGTCGATTTATCGACACGTGAACATTCGACTTGGCGTAACGGAGCTTCGGCTGCTCGGAGATCGGTGCCTTCTTCAATGTTAAAGGCCTGGCTTTGATGATTTGGTGATTGCCGAATTGGGTTTCTGTCGGAGATTCCGGTGGTTCGGACGTGGGGATCGGTGGAACGTCTTCTTCTTTCTCTGTTCTGTGAATTGGTGGAAACGGTCGATTAAGAAGATGATCGACTAGCTCGAGAATTGCAATTTTCCAATTTGAAAAAAAAGAACGATCGAGATTAATCCGGGACCGGTGATACGATAGACGTGGGATACAATCCTTGAACTTAGAGACTTGGACTTAGAGTTTTGACACGTTATATATTGAAACGTACGAGTTTGAGCATACTTTGAAACATGCGTCTAATAAATCAATAATCCACCGAAGATATCAGAAGTTTTATCAAAGTTTCGTTCTTTTAAAAAGATATTTTAATACTCGATTTAGAACGATCTTTCTTGTATTTCGATATTTCACGGGAAGTTCTTTCTTCACGGGATTTTTCCGTGTTCGGATAGTTATGTTATTTAAGGAAAGAAAAGCGATCGATTTAACGATAAGATTTGGAGGGAACACGATCGAGAAAACAGGAACTTAGATTCCGCCTCGATCGATTGAAGAGCTCGCGAGCACTAAGCTGTTGTCTCAACTGCACGGTAGTGGTTCTATTTTGGTGTCTATTATTCGAGATAGGCTTCGATTCACCGGCCAAATCGATCGCGAACTAATTAACATTTATAATTAACCCGGTAATCGTTTTTACACGCTGTGCTCAAAATCCCTGCTCTATCTATCCTCTATCTACTATTCGATCATCCTTCGGGCAATGAGATCGTCGAAATTTCGTATTTAATCGAAATATATATATATATTCCAAATCGAAGTGGAAAATTTAAACGTTGAAATTCGAAATTCTGGATAATAAAATAAATATTGAATTTTTCAAATTGAGAGATCGATTAAAAAACTGAGAGAATTGAGAAATATTGAACGAGCAAATCAAATAAACACAAACCTACCTATTGATCCCTAAATTGTTTTTGCAATCGCCGATCCCGTCGCTCGGATTCTCCATCTTTTCATGATGGGTGAGCCGTGGGGGGGGATTCGGTTTGCTCGGTTTCGGAGGTAGCGCCGGTTTCGTCTTGTCCTCTATCATATTTTTCCTTTCATTCTCATTTTTCAATCTATCGAATTCGAACGTTTTTTCCACACTTTTCGCGGGGATCTCAAATTTCCCATTGTGCTCGTGCTTCGTCGCGGAACTTTGCTCGAATTTATTGTTCTCGAATTTGACCGATTCTTGCTTGAATTGCTGTCCCCCGCTCTCGTACTTGTTCGAGGATTGCTCGTGCTTAAATCCCGCGTTGTGCTCGTACTTGATCGACGGCCTCACCTCGTGTTGATCGTGTTGTTTACCATATTGTTGAGTATTCTGATTAGGATCGTACTTACTCCCGTGAATTTGTTCGTGTTTATTCGGGCCGGTTTCATACTTTCCTTGGTCGATCTTCGACACGTTGTCGTATCGATTCGTCTGATTTCCAATTTGTTCGTGCTTGCTCGATTGCTCGTACAATTTCGTTTGTTGATTGGTCTGATCGTATTTCCCGTGTTGATCGTACTTGGAATGCTGGTCATACTTTATCTGATGGGAATCATACTTGAACACCTGATTGGCCTCGTACCTCTGCTGTTCGTGTTTAACCGGAAGGGCGTGTTCAAATTTTTCTTGAACCTTTCCTTGCTCGAACTTCATCTTATCGGATCCTTGTTCGTTGCTGGACGTGGAGCCGGTCAACGGTTGAGCCTGATTGTATCTTTGAACCGAATTACCAAAACTGGTCCCGACGCTCGATGACGTGTGAATGGTTGACGAAGGTTGATTAGGAGAATTCTGTGTCTGATATACCGAGGATGAAGACACAGAGTGAGTATTCGCTTGAGTTGGGTGTTGAGTAATTCCAGGATAATTGTGCCTCGACGTGTAAGTCTGGTCCTGGCTCGACGTTTGATTGACGTTGGGAACGGATTGGTTCGATTGCTGTTGGCTGCCGCTCTGAGTGCTCAGACCGACGAAATTTTGCGCGTTATTGTGTCCACGGCCTATCAGGCTCAAAGTTTGCGGCATCACGGGATGAATTTTCGTGGAGGAAGTCTGATAGATTTGAGACTTGACGGAGAAACTTGGCGCCACGCTCGATATTGGTTTCTGATGCGTTTGAAGGTTTCTGTGATTCTGAGTTTGAGTAATGGATACGGCGGTGCCAAGATTCGATGCCGACGAGCCAACGTTATGTTGCTTCTGTTGAACGTTCCCGTGTTGTTGTTGTTGTTGTTGTTGCTGCTGCTGCTGTTGTTGTTGTTGTTGCTGCTGTTGCGTCTGCGACTGCTGTTGATGATGGATCCGAAGATTTTGCGACAAACCCTCGGGACTGAAGTTGTGGGATGTGCTGATCAGGTTGTTGTTCGTACTATTGGCATTGTTGTTGTTGTTGTTGTTGTTGTTGTTACTGTTGTTATTGTTATTGTTGTTATTGTTGTTGTTGTTATTGTTGTTGTTGTTGTTGTTGTTGTTGTTGCAAGTCTGTTGCATGTTCACGGATTGATTAGGCAGGTTCTGGTTGTGTTGATTCGTGCCCACAAGTAATTGCGATTGACCTGAAAACGCGATTGAAGCGTAATTGAACGTAAAGACTCGAAATCTTAAAGATTCATACGAAGATGATTTTTGTTGTTCGACGATACCAACCTTGAATATGGGATTGGGATTGGCTATGGGCGATTTGATGACCAAATTGTTGAAAAGCTGCTCTCTGACCCAATTGGGAGGCACTGGCCGAGTGTTGTATCTTGTTCTTATTAACGTCATCTTCGGCAGCCTTAAAATTCACCGTGAATTTGGTGTTGTAAGGCAGTGTCTGATACTTCGGGTCGTTTTTGTTCAAATTGAAATCGTTGTCGTTCGGTATATGGGAGTACGGTTCAATAGCGGCTATGTTTCCGGCAGGCCTCGACTTCCCTCCGGCATTGAAGTCCAGCTTCGACTCTGTGAACCCAGTGCTCGCGTTCGTGCGATTCCCAGAGCCTAGCTGCTGGCTCAGTCGTTGGTTCAACGCTCTCTTGCGTTGAAGACGACCCTGCAGCTGAGCTATCCTCGCGTCTATCGACGCCATTTCCGCTTGTCGTTGCGCCAGAGCCAATCGTTGCTGAGACACCATTTGGTTCTGCTGCTCGTTCATCTTATTACGATACTATTGATCGGAAAAAAAAAGGGGGGAGGGGGAAAAAGAAAAATTTAATCTGAATTCTTCGATAAAATTGATTTCACCGAATGTGAAAACACCGATTATATATACACACATATATAAATAAATTCTCTTTTATCCATTTTTTCACCGCGCTGTGAAATCGAAATCGCGCGGCCTAGAAAGAAGGAAAGAGGGAGAGAAAGGGAGGTTTGTTCGCTTACAATAAGCTCCCTCCTGAGTTTTTCGAGCTCCGCGCTGGCTGGCGTCGACAAGTGTCCACCGCCGCCACCGCCACCAACGCCTCCGCCGCCGACGCCTCCGGCGCCTCCACCTCCGCTTCCGGTCCCGGCCGCGTTCTGCCTGCCCCGCAACTCCTCGAGTTGTCGCGTCAACTCCTCCACTTTCGCCACCGCCAATGAGAGCTCCTTCTCTTTCTCGTTGAACAGCGCCCTTATGCAGTCCAGGTCCGAGGCTGTGAACACGAAACGAAGAAACACGTCAGCCCGAGGAACAAGCTGATTTTTATATTCGACGAGATTCTTTGTGCCGCGAGCAACAACGCGCTCTTCTTTTCATCCTCTTCTAAGGAAATTGCGAAAAAAAAAAAAAAGAAAATAATAAAGCAACGCGTGCTCGAAAACGAGAATAGGAATACGTTTCGACACGTATATAATAGAAAACAAGATCCTGAGTTTCGTCCCAGTTCCCTGTCACATTTATTTTCAAGTACCAGAGAGAACCAGAAACTGATTCGATATTTCTTCAAAGAGAGGGCAGGAGTCCGGTTAAGGTGAAACGGAACAACCGTTTGACCCGGCACGGCGATAGTCCCCGTGGATGAAACTTTCTTTTAATTATTTCCTCGCTTCCTTTGACACGTTTCCCTCCTCCCCCCGATTCGCGATACAGTTTTTATGCAGTTTTAATCTCTTTCTTCGACAGATATCCCATTCAAAGAGCGAGGCAAGAATCGGAAACAAGGGTTGGAACAACAAATAATCTTTCTACGATGGAAATGGAGAAAAGCCCGCGTCCTCGAAGGAAAGGAAAGCGTTTTGTTACGAAAGCGAAAAGAAAAAAGACGCTTTCCAGGGAAAACGACGTTTTTAAAGAACTTTCGTCCCCGATTCGAATCTCGGCTCTCCTTCTTACTCTCCTTCCCAAGAACAACGAAATAATTCAACGGTTAATTGTCGAAACGAGTCACGAGTCGAACCATAACGCGAATCCTCTCGCCGCGTCTATCCTCGTAAATCATTCCTTTAATTGGCTCTTTTTCCAACTTTCCAACATATTAAGCCAGCCGAGGCTGCTTTCTCGTCGCGCGGGATCCTCGCCTGCGATCCATGCAGGCATGTGAATCTTTCAAGCTGGATGGAGAACATGAAAGGAAGCTATTATCGAGTTTGGAACACGAGGAAGAAAGGATATCCTTTTTTTTTTTCATAAAGAGATATATCTCGCGAGATATCTCTCGTAGTTTTAATATTTAAGCGAGTTCATCTATAACCTGTTTCTAGATTGAGAAAATTCAAAGGTTTGGCAAAATATTTTCGAGAATCTTCCATCAATCGAATTCCCATTTTCGTTCATTCGTCGATCGCGTTTAGAATTTCTTAAATTTCTTTCGAGACGATCGTTCTTTCTCGTTATTTTCGCCTCGAACGATTTCGTCTCGATATTACCACGGATGGAAGGAACGATTCTTCGCCTCGTGTCCCCGATACATCCAAGGAAGAAGAGAAGCGTTTCACGCGGGATACGCGGATCGTGATTCGAATGGTCCCGTTTCGTTTATTTGTCTCCGGTGTCTCATTTCTTCTGCCGGTCGTACCGACGCTTATTGCGAATCTCTTTCTCCGAATCGTATCAAGCACGAGAGAATTTTAAACGATTCCCGCTCCATTGCAGTTTCATCGTAGTTTCATTAGAAAATCCTCGGAGAATTCATGCACGGAAAGGAAGGAGAAGAGAGTCGATGAGGAATTAAAGCGGGAGTGGAAATTAGCCTCGGTCTTTTCGTCTCAAGATCACAAGGTTTCCTAATATTTCAACGTCTAAAGATAATTTCTCGCCCATTTTTCGAGCCTATTTTTTCTTCTTTCCTTTCTTTCTTTCTTTTTTTTTTTTTTCTTCTTACCTTTCCAATTTTACCCCAGTCGTCGACATTCATTTCACGAAAAAAAATCTTCATAAAGCCCCGCGTATTAAAACACCGTCGCGTTTAATTTCAAGGAGACCTGGATTCGTGAAAACCAGCGGAGAGCCAGCTAGTTCGTAGGCCTTTGACCGCCTTTATCGTCATTTCCCGCGGGTGGAGGGCAGAAATAGGTGACGCGAGAGGAATCATGAGAATGGGAAAATGTAGAAGGAGAATGCGAAAGAAGGAGGAAAGCTTTTGTCGCGTTGCTCCACAGAGGGACGATCGGTCTTGGCTACACCTTATTAGACTTCCCCCTCCTCTTCCATCTTCTTTCCACCTTTTCCTTCCTCCCTTTCTCCCTTCCTCTTTCGCGTTCAGCTTATTATTCGCCCTCCAGGCGGGACAGATAATGGCGCGACGAAAATCCCGACTTTGTTTGAAATTACAATGAACCACCGTCGAATTACCACCTTCTTCCCCACCCCACCGATGGCTAATTTGAAAATTACGTCGACATACCGAAATTCTTGGCTGCGGAAAATGCAGCGAGGCGAGAGTGGTGGGGTAGGCAATTTTCCCGCCTTCGTTACTTACCCGAATATTATAAAATAGGTGGTAACCAGGCGGTGGTAAACCGGCTTTATAAAGACGTAAGGGTGGAACTTGGACTTTGTATACTGGAGCTTGCTACGAGCACCAATTTTGTAATTCAACGCTGAAAACTTTTGAGCGTGGCCCCACGTACACGCTTATTACCAAGTTAAGCTTCCGACCGACTCTCGTTAACGATCCTCATTTTTCATTTCGAAATACAGCGGCGGATTTAGTCTTGTGGATCTCGATCTCATCGATATTTCGTGTCGAAATAGAAAAGAAAAGAATTGCGAGCGAAAATTTCGACATAACATAATCATCCTGTGAAATTCCTCCGAAGATTTGAGAGGATGACGAGAGGAAGAAGGGAAATCGAATTGGCGGACGATATACACAGGAATAAATAGCGAATAAATAGGGATCGTGCTGGAACGTGTTCAATTGATATTGTCGCGCTATTAAAGATAGGATAATCGTTAGCAAGGACTAGATATCGTATTGATAAACGAGGAGGGGCGACGCATCCTCGCCGTTCAATTGTATTGCATCGATTAAAAGGTTTAGGCATTTAATTAAACGCATTGTGCTATCGCATCGAATTCCTCTTCGACACGTTCGCTCATTTTCATTGGGGAAAATATCCTCGATATTTGCTACAATGTTATAGATACTACTACTACTACTACTACTACTACGACTACGACTAACCGGTTAATAATAATTATTTTCCCTGACCTGGCCAACTTCGCAATGGGCGGAGGTCACGAAGTTTACGTTCCACTTTCTCGAGTTTCGTTTGAATCTTTCATAGCGTTCCGAGAAGCGTGGATTCGATAAATACGAAAGAAAGTTATTTTTACTCTTTAAAGGTAGGGCGAAGAAAGAGGGGAGGGAAAATTTTGTTTCGTCTTCGATAGATTTAATATCACTTTTCATTCTCTTTACATTTTCCTACATCGGGGATCGTATCTGCTTTATACAAAGTGATAATACCAATCCATTTTACCTTCGTTTATTTTGTTTCGCGACAACTGTTTACCTTTCCACGTTACGAATTAAAAAAAACACTTACTTACATACTTCCTCCTCGTGGTCGATCCTCATCCCGATAATAATAATTAACACGAGAGTCTTCTTCCTCGCGCACCACAACTCTATTAATTACCTCGAGTTTGATTTACATTGTCGTTGCGGTCGCAGTCTGGCAGTGATTATCGATTTTGCGAGGCCGCGAGGCAAATGTGGAATTACCGCGTGGCTGGAGGACATCCCCCTCCTCCGTACTTCCGGTAATTGGAAGTTCGAATTCGATTCGATTGTGAGAGAAGTGACCACTTCTTCGACTACCATTACATATTATACTTGCTCGACTCTGGATCGAGTTATCGAGTCTTATGCAAACTCGCCGCGATTTCCCACGTCTGTTGGAAGAGGATTTCCGTTGGAGTTTTCACCGGAAACGACCAAGCGTTTCCAAGTTTCTCCTTCAACGCGTTTAGAAACTTTTTTTTCATTTCTTCCTCACCGGTGATAAGTCGAGCAACCGTCACGCCATTTGTGCGTCAACAGAAACCTGTTAACCTGACTTCTCGACCGAGATTAAAACACGGATTGGATTTTTTTACGAAGTTATCGCGTTCTTGAATTTTTGATTTTAATTCGAGTCGAGGGTGCTCGATATCTGTTTTCAATTTTTTTCTTTTTTCTTTTTTTTTTTTGAAATAACGGAGCGCCCGGATTAGAATCGCGTGCAGGATGCTTTTGGCGTTGATTGCTTTCCACGCGCTAGACCTTCCACGATCTCGTTCGAAATCGATCGATCCGAAATACTACACTCCCCCCTCTCTCCAAAGAAAAAGATAAAAGAGCAGCAAGATTCGATTCGAGACAAATTTTTCTCCGCGAGTAATTTTAATTTTCGAATAAGAATTAGAAAAGGTTGCTCGATCGAGTGCTTCGGAATTAACTCGTGAGATTGTGAATCTCGGCCGTATAATCATCGTTTCGAAACAAAGAAACGGAGAGGATGATGTATCGTCCCGCGATTGTCCGATGACCTAGAATTCCATTATCGAATTCTAGGCTATACGCGCGAATACTACCCGCTTGTGTCTCGCACGCGGAGACTCGATACCCCTCCCGTGTTTTCCGTGTCTCGACGACGATCGAACGGATTTCTGATACCGCGCGATACAGCCAACTACCATTCTGCTTCCACTTTATCGACGCTGTCAATCGATGCCGAGATCACTTCGCAAAGACGACGCGGAGAATTTTGAAATTTTCACTCTTCATTCGTCTCGGATGTGTTCCTTTTCCAGGTTTGTCAGGAGTATCGATGTGTAAATCATCGTTTCACTACCTACTTTTCTTGGACAACAGTTTTTGCTTCTCGTAATCATCTTTGGACGAAGTCGGCGCGGAAAAGTGACGAGGGCTTCGCGACCGACAAAGTAATTTCTACCTCCGAAGAGAAGGTGATCGTTGAACAGGGGATTTCTTTTTTAAAAAAAAAAAATTAATTTCACTGTCAATGAATTCTAACAATTTCACGCAACGGAGATGCAGATTAGAGATTACTCGAGAGAAAGTGGAGAGAAAGTATAAATAATCAGTTGCCAATTCCAACTTGGACGAGGGAAAATATAACAACCGAGGGGGGAGGCGTTGAGATTCTTAACAAAGTTCGGAAAAGAAGTTCGATCTCGAGATCGATCTCGAGATGCCAGCGTAAC